TATTTGATGTGGGTGATTTATCATAATTATTGATGGGAACGCGTGCCAGTGTTGAGTGAAAGCCCAGGAAATAAGAGCTAACTAAGTGCTTGCGACAAGTTAGGACAATTGGTCCACATATTGATTGTGCTTATCCTAAGGAAGAGGAAATTTTGTTTCCGCACTATTTTGACGATCCTCTCCCCGCAAGCTTCGCAGGGCCATACTTGCTGTTCGTCTCCAACCGACGCTACTATCATCTTCTGTCACCAACGAGCGATAAGTTTTCTTTTTCTTATGTAATTTTTATTGTTGCCAATATATCCAATTTTACGGTCTATTGACCTAATATATATATATATAATTTTATTATTTTACGTTTATGTATGTTTGTGTGTATGTATGTGTTGAGATGTCTCTAAGAGTTCTTTTTTTGTGTCTTTGACGAAGTGTTTAATAAAATTATATGAACTCCATTTCATTTAAATGATATATTTTGATTTTATTTAATAATTTTTTTTGTGAGACAAAATATTTTTAATACACAAACATAATTCACTATTACATAATGATAATCAAGTTAATTCTAATCAAACTTATTCCTTATCGAGATTTTAATCAGTTGCTGTTATCATGGAGGTAATACAAGTAGATCAGAGCCTCTTGATAATGCGAATAATGTCTCTATAGCTAATCAATCCGTAATATCTGTTTTAAATAAAAATACTGTTGATATGACTAGTATATTTCTAGCCACGGCTTTCATAGAAGTACGTATTAATAATGGTAAAAATATAACTTTAAAGTACTATTGGATCTAGGATCCAAATCTTGCTTTGCTTTAGAAAGAGCGGTCAAAATTTTACAACCAAGTTACAAGCACGTAGCTGCAACAGTGTATAGAGTTGGTGGTGCCTCGATTGTTTCTGTCTTATTTTGTAGAACTGTGTAATTTTCCTTGAAAGCAGACCGTAAGAAGCACAATCGGCAGAATTATACTTAGAAATAATAATCAGGATTTTGAGAAAAGTTGGGGTCGCTAATTACGAATTTTATGTCAGTTTTTTTAAATTCAAAATATCGGATCCAAAATGGAGGACTACTTTTCTAAAAATCAATCTAATTGGCCTTAAACTTGTTAATTGGGGGTTTTCGGGCTGGATGTTTACATATCTGATTATATATTTCTCTAAAATTAAGAATGACCGCCTTAATATGGCCTAATATGACACAGTGAAGGTAATACTGGGTCATGTCCAACCAGCAAAGGTAGGACTAGGTTATGCCTATCTAACCATGGTAAGACAAAGTGATATCTAACCAGCCAAGGCAAGACCAGGATATAACTTACTAGCCAAGGTAAGACCAGGGTATATCCAACCAGCCAAGGCAAGACCAGGATATAGCTAACCAGAGAAGGTAAGACCAGGTTATGTCTAACGAGCCAAGGTAAGACTAGGTCATGTCTAACCAGCCAAGGTAAGACTAGGTCCTGTCCAATCATATGATCTACTTTTACCCTCGAGGCAGTTAGTTTAATAGCTCGTTTGATTCTGGGGTTCTTACGACCACTTTTTTCAAATCTGGACGTGATTGTACTTTCAGCGATTTAAAAAAACTGACGTCGAATTCGTAATTCGACGCAAAACCTCCGAGTAACGAGTTACAGGCGAATTAGAACGATTTTTATCAAAAATCGTCCGCCATCTTAGGTCCGCCATTTTGAATTTTTAAAGACTGACATTAGATTCGTTATCAGCGACTCTAAAAACCCCCGAGTGACAAGTTTCAGGCCAATTTAATCGATTTTTAGAAAGTCCGTAAAGGTTAAAAAAAGTCAGGCGTTAAAGGTTTCACCCCATAAAAGAGAATTTTATTTTCTTTTAGTTTGACGGATATGGGCATTATAATATAGGATTTAAGCTTTATTTTAAGACTATGTAGAAGTTTCTAGCACGTCAGGTTAAGGAGAAAAAAAATACTGAAAAACCCTCAAAAACACGTTTTTTGGGGTCTTTACTCCAACTTTTCTCAAAATCCTGACGTGATATGCAATGTTGAATCCCGGGATCGTATTCAGCGCACAAAAATACATAGGAAACCACTCCGATATCTAAAAAGAGAAAACCTTGTAGACCTGTGCTATTGATAAGCTTCTGTGGTGGAAGGGTTCTCCATGGCTTTCTGATCCATCTATAAACTGGTTAGATGATTCAAGATTTGAATTTGTTTTAACTGAGTTAGAATAAAAAACTAATAAAATGAATTGTGGTCATACTAAAACAATAATTGATACTGATCTTATCACTAGCTTTTCTTCATGGCCTAAATTATTAAAAATTACTAAGCTGTGTTTGCGCTTTATTAATTTCTGTAGATTTACAAATAATAAAAAGTTTATCTTTTATTCTACAGTGGAGGTTAATAATACGCGATTTTTACTAATTAAATTAGTTCAAAAACAGTTTTTTGGTACAGAATTGAGGGATCTTGCTAAAGAAAATAGTATTTCAAAAAACTCTGTTTTGAAATCTTTAAACCCTTTTTAGATGACAAGGGAATTTTGCGTGTAAGTGGTCGCCTGCGACCTTATAGTCACCCATGCTCATTTGCGAAGTTTACATGGAGGTATTAACTTAACTTTACACACCCTCAAACAAGATTATTGGTTCGTGGTTGCTCGTCTGCTGATTAAAAGTATAGTTAACAATTGTGTATCTTGTTTTCGCGAAAGAGCAGTTGTTGTTCAAGAACTAATGAGTGATCTGCCTAAATTTAGGGGGCGTCCATTAATTATGTGAGGTCAAAATGGGGAGGGGGGGTCTGGCCAAGTCTCACCAAATCTCACTGAGGGGAAGGGGGGGTCAATAAAAATCTCACGTCAACTTGTAATTTTCAGCAATACATATTTTATACTCATCCCTGTTGGAATACGTCAGTGTTGGGTAAGCTACTATTTTTAAAAACTCGTTACAGTTAAGTTTCTACCCAACACTGGAATAGATGGTAGTTCAGAGTTGCCAATCACCCTTACCAAACACAACTGCGCTTGTGCTGCGTTTTCTGTCTCATTGGTAAAAATAAGCACGCTTATATGAAATGCTTTAATGTAAGAAAATATCAGTAAAAGATTAAAAAAAATTTTAACTGTTAAATTGATTGTTTTTGATCACGTAACACAAAAACAATCAATTCAACAGTTAAAATTTTTTTTATTCTTTTATTGATATTTTTCTTATATTAAAGCATTTCATTTAAGCGCGCTTATTTTTACCAATGAGAGAGTAAACGCGGCGCAAGCGCACTTGCGCTTGGTAAGGGTCATTGTCAACTCTGCTTAAGGTTAAGTTTGACCACTGCACTGTAAACAACTGTAAAATAATATAAATAATAAAATGATATAAAAAATATAAAATTGTATTACCATATTCTGAAGAGTACAAATGATATAAATCAAAAATATATAATTGTATTATCATATTAATTAATATCATAAAAATATAATGTAATTTGAATACCTTCATTTTTCCCTCGTATTTTAATGAAAAATAAAAAATCTTACCTGAGGGAGGGGGGGTGGAGCTAAATCTCACCGACGGGGAGGGAGGGATCCAGATTTTAAAAACAACTCCTCACTTAATTAATGGACGTCCCCTTAGAGATAGTCCAAGTCCCCCCTTTTGTCACACGGGGGTTGATTATGCCGGACCCCTTGATGTGAGATTAACTTCTCGACGAGGTTATAAAGTAAGAAAACGTATATTGGGATGTCCGCTGGGGGCGTGGCTCAGCATTTTATTCTACGTTCAGTAGTACAATTTTTCACGACTATGTCTGAAAGTTACTCTTATTGTGTCAAGCGTCATCTGCAAAGAATTGTTGAAAAGCACAAATTTACTTATGAAGAGTTTTATACCCTACTTGCACGTGTTGAGGCAACATTAAATATATACCTACAGCTATACCAGAGCCGTCAGTGGAGTTTACTCCTAAAAATCGTTTAAATCGATGGGGAATAATTCAGCGGGTAACAGAATTTTTTTGGAGACAGTGCAATTTAGATTATTTACATCGTCTACAAAGATGATATAAACGGTCTGCTTTAAAACCTAACATTGGTATTGGAGACATGTTTCTTCTAAAGCAGGATAATATTTCACCATCTCAATAGCTTCTTGGTCGCGTTTTAGAATGGTATGAGGGAAAAGACAATCTTATTCCTGTTGTAAGATTTAAAACAGTTGATTCCGAGTTCAATCGTCCTATAAGTAAACTTTGTTTGCTCCCTATTAAATCAAGCAACGATTAAGAATGTGTCTTAAGTGCTTAGTTTGGCATCTTGTTTAATTTGTATATTGTCTTAAATTTTTTTTGATTCTCCCTCGTGATATTATTTAATGTTTATATGTATTATTTTTACTATTATTTCATAGTGGGCGATTAAAACTACGATTAATTATTTTTTCATTCTTTATCTTATTTGAGCTATATTAGATACGAGGCGAGCGGTATGTTCGATTTCTAATATAATTTGGGTTTGTATGATTTGGCGCCTTTATTTAGGTTTTCTGTCTTACTTCTATTTTTGCTACTAATGTACATACTTAATTCCTAAAATGTGAGGTTGAAATCCGAGAACTGTCTAAAATTACGGTAGTATGTAAGAGTGCGAGGCTCGAATACAGTCGCATATTAATCGACTCAAATTCATTAAAAAATAAAATCATTGTTTCTTTTATAAAGTTATCTGTTCTTTAAAATAAATAAACAATTTATAAACAATTAATGTAAGTGGTTTTACATTAATTTAATAAAAAGATGAAGTGATTATTTTAAATAAACTGAACTCAATGCAATGTTTATTTAACCCACACCAATCCCTACTTTACTTAATAATTTATTTGAAAAATAAACAAAAACTATACAGAGAAACACGTTATTCCATCCATGCTTTCTAAAAACTAGAGAATAAATGAAATATCCTACATATTTAATAAAATAATAAAGTTTTTATATTACAGATAATCCTCTATATTGCGAATGTGAACTAAGTTGGTACGCAGCATGGTTAAAAGGCCTACATGACATGGATGACGAAGTAATGTCCAAAATAAAACCTATCTGTACAATGGTCTCAGAGCATCGAGAATATCCTGTGCAAACCATACCTTTGAAGAAAATGGGATGTGTAGGAAAAAATGTAGATCGCGCAACATCTTTGGGAACAGGTGTTTTTCAAAATAGACTGGGAACATTCTTAACATTTGTTAGCCTATCTATCATTTTAGTACAAAAGATTAATGATTAATTAAATAAATAATAGTAAATTTGCGTAAATAATTAAGGGATTGTAGTGAATAATCCAAATTGTAGTAGTATTTCTTTCTGATTGTAGAGGGGTTCAAGTTTCTCATCAAATGTGAAAAGTGGATTTTTTAAAAAATTGTAACTTCTATATAAATGGATGAAAAAATATTGACCTATATGTTTTCAAAAAGTTTTTTCCTGCTCTTTCGAATGGTGAAAAAATTTTTTTTAAATATTCAAAATTTACCGCTTTTTTTGAAAATCAAAAATATTTTTGATTTTTTTCAAAAGGACACTTTTTTACATTTAAAATGAAGCTTAAGATACATACTATCAATACCAAAAAAACTAGAATGACGCTTTTTGTTTTTGAGATATTAATTAATTAATTAATTTTTATGACAAATTAAATATTTTACAAACAAATAAAGTTACCGTAATTCTCAAGTTAGAAATTGAAAGCTAACGTAATTCCGCATACAACCAGCCCTATAAGAAATATTTTGGATAAGTAGATTGTTAATAAACCATTAGTTAACATTGCAATTGTTTATTAACAATCTACTTATCCCAAATATTTCATATAGGGCTCGTTGGATGCGGAATTACCTTAACATTCAATTGGTAAGTTCAGAATTGCGATAACTCTTTTTTTGTAAAATTTTTTATTCTTTATTAACAACAATTAACAATTTTTTAAAGATGCTATATTAAAAATATGTGAGGCTCCACGGTGCATAGGACCCATGGGAACTAATGTTCCTGTAAACTTTTAGGCTATGTTTAGTGATAGTTTTTCCTTGATTAAACACTCATTTCTAATTATGTAAAAATTTTCAGTATTAAGTTGATACTTGGCTGAAGTATAGTCCTAGGGGACATACATTTAACCACGAAACGATTTGACCCAACAGCAAAGGGCTTTCAAGATACAGGGGTTCGAAATTTCAACTCTCAGTCGATTTCTCTAAAATTCAACTTAACATAATTTCTATAAAACTTATTCAATTACACTTTTATTAAAGAGTTTTCAAAAGGATTTTTTCTCTACTTTAAGAATATAAAATCTAAATTTTTCCTTTTAAAGCGTTTTTTCTTAAAATTTCAGGAAAAATTTCAAATTTCGATGCTTAAGACCGTTTAAAAAAATTTTTTTTTGTCTCAAAAAATAACATGTTTCGATTATTTTAAAAATACACTTTGACAGAAATGAAATCTGCTTATTTTCGAGGTCAAATTTGACTTTTTTTACATAAAAAACTACAATTTTTCAAATTTAAACTTGAAAATCAGCTATTCCCATTTTTTTCTACATGGTGTTAAAGTACACAAAAAATTCTATTTTTCGAGACAAAAATTTTTTTTTAAACGGCCTTAAGCATCGAAAATTGAGTTTTTTCCTTAAATTTTAAGAAAAAACGCTTTAAAAGAAAAAATTTTTAATTTTGGATTTCATATTCTTAAAGTAGAGAAAAAATACTTTTGAAAACCCTATAATGAAAGTGTAATTTAATAAGTTTTATAGAAATTATGTTAAGTTGAATTTTAGAGAAATCGACTGAAATTAATTTTTGGGGTGGTAACAATTGAGGAATTTTGCCCCATAAATTCTTTCTGAAGTTAGCGAGTTTTCAATTTAGAAGTATCAGTATAAATACTCATAATTTGTTAATATCCTTGTTTAATTTTATTACTGCTTGCTCAGAAATGTCAAAAGTTAGAAGTCATGAAAAAAATCGTTACTGTATTTGCCTTTTTTGTTACGGAAGAATGTAATAATTTTTTTTCATCTTAGGTTCAAATTACTCAGAAAATAATGTGGAATTAATATCCGAAGAGAGCCGAGATGGGTCAGTACTTTTGGGTTAAAATTAATCCAAGCCCACCGTGCAGTGATGTGTAGTATAAGTATCATCTTTTTGTTGAAAAAACATAATAATAATTCAAAATTTGTTGGGAGTTAAAGTCTCTTTTACCATGGAGCATCGCATTTCCTACCTTCGAGTTTTTTTACATTTTTTATCGAAATGAATTTACAAATGTGTTTTACATGTCCTCTAAATTTAATCATGTGTCAATCAATAGTTTCAAATGAAATATGTAAAACGTAAACTCGCGCTTTGCACTGTACAGCGCAACGTATACATTTTGGGGTTATTATTCCGGAACTACCACAGACTGAAGAAATATTTAAAAATGTTGATAAATTGTATACCAAAAAAAGAAAGATCATGCACAATATTGCATTACAATATTAAGGTAATACCCTCAAACATTTTTCAAGCGAGTCACTACTAATGCATTAATATTGCCTTGCATAAGTATATGAAGCTGGTTAGAGGTTAAAGAAAGCCATTGCTTACATTAAATTTTTTAGTATGAGTGACATTTAAGGAGAGCGAGTTGACAAAACGTGAATTAGTGATAAAAACTTCAACGTCAGCAATTGGTTGTCTTTGGCCCCGTGTCGCTCAAAATACTTTTTATTTCAAAGGCACAAACATGGAAATTTCATATATCTGTGAACAGCTATTTATTTCAACCGTTTAAAAATAGCGTCCATTTTTTTCTATAGTGTAAAAAAGAGGGCATTTGACGTTACTTTTTTGATTTCTATAACACAACTCAGCTTTAAGGTCTGCTACGTGACTTTTTAGGGCGCTCAGTGCGTCTTAGACTAGTGTACTTCAAATCTCTAGCGCGCTGCGTGCCCTAGAAATTCTCGTGGCAGTCTTCAAATCTGAATTGCGCTACAGAAATTGAAAGAGTAACATAATGCGCCCTATTTTTTTCAGTGTATCCAAATATTACGACCATTTATGTTTTTAAAAAATATTACCACAATAATAATATGAAATATAATATCCAGGTTTTCTCGTCATATTACCTGCAGATAAATCGTACCTACATATGTATATTGTAATGCAATATTCCAAACGTTTCTTAACAATATTATAACAATATGTTGTTCATTTCCTCGAACTTTTAAAGTAATATTGCAAGACAAATCTTCTTTAATATTAATTGACAAATTTAAGACAATGTTGTTCGTTAACATTAACACAATATTAAGTTAATGTTTTTGATCAATCCTACCATTACTGTTAGACAATATTGAGTTAATATTGTAATAATATATTATGCTTTTTATTCGTTTTTCGGGTACGAATTAAATTTATGTAAAACCTTTCTTGAGTTTTGTTTATCGTTAAAAAATTAGTTTCTTTGTCTAAGATGATTCTAAAGAAACATATTAAATTATTTTCTCCAAAAATACAAAAAATTAATTAAATTTTTTTTAATTCCAAGTTATTAAAAAAATTTCAGTCTTCGAGAATTCTGAATGTAAATCTGACATATTTAAAAAATTGCAAAATGCACATACACTACGACTAACTTAAAAATTAGTTTCAAAAACGTCTTCGTTATATTAGTAATTCGAAATTTATTGAAAATTGTTAAAATTTTTGTAGTTGATCCATTTCATATATTTGTTTTAAATAGTGAAAACGTTTCGCCCTTCAAATTTCAAAAGAAATTCTCGTACAAAGTAATACTATTTATATTAAATTAATTTAAAAATATTAAGATCAATGTGGAACATTGTTTCTTAAATGTCCCAGTTAAAGAGTGGAAGTTGTCTGATTAGATTGAAACTTTAAAAACATTATTTATTTTATAAATAAGACTAACAAATTTCTATAGTTAAACCCTAAAATTAAGTAGACGCAATATAACGAAAGTGAAGGAAGCAGAGTAGTGCTGCATATTCCCTCACAGCATCAGATATTTGAAGATATCCTACGTACCTTCTGGCGATATCCATCGGCTTGTGGAGGTTAGGATATCGTCGAATGTCCAAAGGGCATTAATGGATATCTTGAGGACATCCTGCGGATACTCAAAATTTGTTGGATGTCCCTGAAATATTGGGTGCTGTGAGGGTGAGAACAGGAACGATACGAGATTTCACATACATTAGTCTCAGTCTGGTCGTGTATTAAAATTTCAGGTCTTGATATTGGTAAATATAAATTTGATCTACGTTTTATAAAATTTTGATTAATCAACTTTAGTTTTTAATTTAAGCTAGTCATTTGGACAATTAATTAATTTTATTTTATTAATTACAATTTTAAACATTTCTGAGTTTTGTTTCTATATTTCTTATGAATATTTTTTTCGGAGAGCAATTTTGAAAAGATAAAATAAAATTAATTATGTAGTTTAAGTGAGTAGGAACAGAGAGTCAAGAAATACAATAGCAATTGACATTGGTTGAACTGCTCAATCATTGTCAATATTATTTTCAATAATATGTAACAAATAATAATAACACATGCACACAAAAAAAAGTTGTCTGTTTCCTGAACTAGACATACTATTCCTATAATATTTTGGCACGCTGAAAACGAATATGAAGTCAGAATTGCTGCATCACCCTCTGATTTTTTTTAATTGAAAAAACCACCCTTAACCGGACAAATTCAAACTTAGGGGATAAAAAAATAAATAACAGATTATTTTTATTAAATAGAACCTTACAACTACGTATGTTGGCTCCACTAACTCAACACAAAGCCAGAACTGATCCAGCACCCTCTGGATTTTTTTAATCTGAAAAACCACCCTTAATCTGAAAAATTCAAACTTAGGAGATAAAAAAACTAAATAACAGATTTTTTTAATAATCAGAACCTTACACCTACGTAATTTTGCACCACTAGCACAAAAAAAATCAGAACTGTTCCAGTACCCTCTGAATTTTTTTCAATCGAAAAAACCACTCTTCATCGGACAAACTCAAACTTAGAAGTATTACAAAAGTAGCAATCTTTTTGACATGATGGTTTCTTTCGTATCATAGATACAAAAACTTTTATTTGTACTTGCTTTCCAATTTTCTCCCAACGAAATATCTAAGTTTGAATTTGTATGAGTAAGGGTGGTTTATAATCTACAGGATTCTGGATCAGTTTTGATTTTATTTTTGTATTAGTGGTGCAAAAATACGTTGGTGTAAGGTTCTGTTT